AAAAAAAAAAAAAAAAAAAAGAAAAAAAAAAGGAAAAAACAAAAGAAAAAAAAGAGTAAAAAAAGAAGGGGAAGAAAAAAGCAATTAAAAGTCTATATCGGTACGTCCGTTATTCTGTAATGTCCCCCAGTATTTCGTGCTCACCAATAGCACTGAAGGAGCATGATTCTCCTTCTCCGAATTCAAGCGCAATAGCTTTGCGAGAGTCTGAAAAATATAAGTACTATAAAAAAGTATCTGACGATTATTATGTCTATCAGAAGGTCGGTCAGCCTAAACAGTCGAAGATCGGTGATGAGTTTTGGTCTCCAATATTTACCCCCGAGTGTGTAAGGTCAGTTCACAAAAACGGAAACTTCTGAAATTGCAAAACTTTTTGTCTGTTTTATAATAGTACAAAGAGCAGTTTTTCTGATTTCTCCTGAAATTGTTCTGTTCAACTTCTTCTGCGTTCTTCTTTGTTTGGATGTGCAATATTTGAGGGATTACAAGAGGCTTCAGTTTTAACTTTAATCACCATTTTTAAACAAATATCTTTCAGAGGTTCAAAAAAGTTAAAAATAAGGGAAGGTGACGTGTTTGTTTGTACATATCCGAAATGTGGCACGACTTGGGTGCAGCACATTTGCGCTCAGCTGATGCACGACAGCTACGGACCTGAAGCAGGAAATGGTATCTACTTAAAATTCTATTCCTGCTATCTTGCTGACTCTCATTATAGTTTTTTAATTGTTTTGAATTGCAATAGAAGTGGAAACTGGCAGCTAAGAAGGTTTTTTATTCTATCACTGACAAGTCAAAAATTTCAGTATGTTTTACTTTCAATCTCAGAAGTCATTTCAGAGCTAAGTTTGACGAGTCCGATGATAGAGCGGATGGGGCCTGATTATATAGCGAAACTCGGAACTCCTCGCCTGTTAAAAACGCACTATACTTGGAAAAACTTGCCAAAAAGTCCATTAGCAAAGTACATCTTCTGTGTCCGAAACCCAAAAGACTGTTTGACTAGGTAACTAGTACCTCAAGGAATTCTCATTAGCAAGTATAAATTGTTTGCTAAAACACTTGACTGATTTATTTTTCCAGCTACTATTTCCACAATCAGAACTTCAAAATCTATAACTATGAAGAGGGAGACTTCAATGAGTTTTTTGAGCTATTCAACTCAAACGAAATAGCGTTTGGCAATTACTACGACCATTTTCTTAGTTGGCTAAGTCACATCGATGAAGAAAATGTATTATTTTTGAAATATGAAGATATGTGGGAAAATCTTGGAGACGCTGTGAAAAAAATAGGACGTTTCCTTGGTGGAAGGGCTGCACAGAAGATTGAGAATAAAGAAGAGTTCAAAAGAATCGTTGACGAAAGTAAAATCGACTCAATGAAAAAGGACCAGTCTAGATGGTTTCCTGCTGACAATTTGTAAGTTTATTTGCTGAGAAGCTAATGTAACAGCAGTGACCAAGAAAAAGATAATAACCTTTTTTACAGGCGAGGGAAACCTTTTATAAGGAAAGGTGGAAGTCGAGATTGGAGAAACTACTTTACCAAGGAACAGTCTGATCGTATGGATGAAGAGTGGCATAAACGAGTTTGTGGTACGATTGCAGAGAACTGGTGGAAAGAAGAGATGGCCTGGGATGTAAACGTAAAGACCACGGAGGCTGTACAGGAAGACTTTTATAGTTCTGGTCCACTCTCACCTACCAGGGGCTTATGCTTTTCTTCTTCAGACTTGGGGCCTTTTAGAAAATTTAGTGAGTCAATTTCCATCTGTTCCAGTCGGCAACATTTATTGTCTGCTTCTGAAGAATCAGGTTATGGATCCTTTGAAGATAACTATCTCACGTCTTAAACAGTTCTAGAATGTATATAGGTGTGTCTATCTTCTAGGTGTGTCCTAAACGCAGCCTTGTTAGCTATCAGCAATCTCACTAAACTTTTTGATTCTCATTAATTTTTTTATTACTGTGCAATCAAAAGTGTTTAAAATCTACTGAAGTCTGATAACAGAATTTCTTGCCACATGGTGAAAATGAACTTCAAAAGTTAAAAAATTACTTACACTTTAATTGTTTGATACAAAACAAGAACACTGTTGATTGTCAATGGTCACCTGATGACTGCTGTAAAGTCTAACTTTGACAGAATTTTCAAAAGCATTTTTTGTAAAGAAAGTCTCGATTTGCTGTTTGTAAACAAAGTCGGGATTGGTCTACTTTACATGTGATAACAATTCTCTGTCTTTTCAAGGTCTTTGTTCAAACTGTGTTTTCTTGTTAAACTGCATAAGTCTTTTTAGAGAATTTTTTGGTTATTATTGCTTCAAAAATACGCGTACTTTACTTTATGCAGGCAGCAGTTGTAATACTTCCATTTGTTTAAATGCCATTGAGATTTAATTAATGTTTATTTTTTAATGCTGTTTTTGTGAAACTTTCCACAACTTGTTATCTGTTGAATCTATATTAGTTTGATCTCAACTTAACTTATAATTTTGGTCAAATTTTGGTTTTGTATAACAAAGAACTTTTACTAAAAAACAATCTTTCTATTATTGTTATTAATAGTGTATAATACCAGAAAAAAATTTATTTTTTATTTTTTGGCAGTAAAGAGAAGAATTTGAATGTATCTGTCTTCCGCCAAAAAATGTTGTGTCAGTTTTTGAACGGTTTTTTAATCGCACAGCCATCACACCTGTTTGTTCTGCCAGTCTTTCGCTGCTTCTACTTTCTTCAACAAATTAAGAGTAGAAAAAAAAATTTTTTTTGAAAAAAAGTTTTATGCGTGTAAAATTAGACTGTAAGTCCCAAAACTGGCTTAAGGTTTTCAAATGCTTTTATTTGTAGGTGTTACTTTTGCTTCTAAAATAACAAGAAAACTGAGGGGGACAGAGAATTCATCTGCGGTTATCACATAGAAAGTGTCGCTGACAAGGTTCAAAGTGTTAATCGCTGTCGAATTGGTCAACGCACAATGTTGATAGTTTCATCTAAAAAAAAAAAAAAAGGCAATCTTGATAGTGACAGTGAAACCGGTGGTAACTGAATAGTTTTTGCTTTTTAAGGACTTCAGCTTTTCTCAAATTTCTTGGACACGATCTGATGGGGATCCTTTAAATGTTTTTTGTATTAATTCTCTGGTGACAATCTTATCGTTTGAATTTGTTAATGAAAAATTTTTTTTCAAAATTGGTTAAGTGAACACAGCGAAAAAAATAATTTGAGTTGTGTTAAAACATCAAACCATTTATGTGAAGTTTTTACCAAAGCAAACGTCAGTCATGTTGACAACAATTTTCCCCAATAAAAATGTTCAGAGTTCCAAAAAAAACGTCTAGAAGTTTAAACAATTGTGTAACGAGAATACGATAATTTTTTTGTATAATTAAAAAAAGGTCAAGCTAAAGATAACTTTTAATAGAATAAAATTGTCAGAAATAGTTCACGGAAACAGCTGTAATTTGAGAATTAAGTGGGTGTTTAAATAATAGCTCTAGTAGACGAAGAAGAATAGGTTTTTGATGTTATTATATAAATACAATTACAGTGCATTAAATGGAAGAAAAATCTGCATAAATGTAATTCTGTCTACTATCCATATTTCTCTCTCGGCTGACATAAGAAGGAGTCAACGCCTTGAAATTTCTAGTACCGGCAACACTTATGAATAAACAACGTCTTGCAGTTTTATAAATGACATTTAGGTGGAAAGAAAGAAAGTGAGATGAAACTGCCAATTAATCGAGTTTGTCAAATAATGGTAACTTCATTTACCTTGAAAAAAATGATTTTAAGCGATTTATCTGCTCAAAAAATTTTAATTTTTTTATTTGGCTCTAAAATTTATTTATCAGGTTTTTCTTCAAAATAGTCATCGGAAAACCCTATCAAGTTCCTTCAAATGGTAGTAGAATGTAATTCAGTGCTTTGCCTTCTACTGTATCGCCTATTCTGTTTTTGTATTTTTTAAATTAGGTTTTAGTCAGATTATCTTGATCAGGACAGTGAACAACTGTATTGGTGGAAACGCATATAAAAAAATACGAGGTTAGTAGAAGTACGGTGAGAATGTAATTATTCGGTAATTCACTGAAGAGCGGAGTAAAATTTTTTTGTTCCGTATAGTGAGTCCTTCGTTTTTTTTTAAAGTTTAGTTTGCCGCAATTGAAACAGCTAAAAAACTAGTTCACTCGTCACTGAGGGAAATTATTTTTTTTTAACATTTCTGAACAAGCAAAAAACAGTGCAATTTCTTATTCGGGGTAGTTGGGGACACAACCTTTGAAAATTCTTAATTATATCCGTCAAAAAGTTTGATTAACGTCTTGTTTTTCGGTTTTGTTTAATTTTTTAACCTCCAAAAAATAGCTGATCGGGTTCCTGAGAGATGAAATCGTAAAGGTTCAATTGTAAATCAAAAAACTACTTTAATAAATTTCACAGAAAACTTTTTATCGGTAAACACGAATTTTGAATGAAGAAGTAACAATGTGGGCCGAATAATTTATGACGCTTTCAGAAAATGAAAAGTATTGTGGGTGAAAAAAGATTTTAATGAGTTTTCTAGGTTTCCGAAAAGACTCCATCAAACTAGTTCAGAAAACATCCTTTAAGTCTGAAGTGAACAGTTGCTTAAAATTTGTCATATTTTCCGCCCAACTCGCATTTTGTTCTGTAAAAGTACAAATTTTTTACTTACATTTTCCAAAATAATCCCTGTGCTAAATATACTTTATCCTTAAAATTTTGAACAATCTCGCCCTCTAATCATCAATTTGTACAACCTTTAAGATATGTGAAGTCAAAAGTTGGGAGGAAATGAGCAAAAGTATGTCATATTATTAAAATATTGATATATAAATTGAATGATTGAGTACAAATTTATTACTGATATGTAACATCACATACCAGATTGTTAAAAAAAAAATTATATTTTGACTACAATACTTTAATATTCCTAGCTTAAAATTCGTCTTAATCATCAAGAAATTGAGCCAGCGATAAAGGCGGTTAACAGTCAGTAGCAAAGAATATCTTTTACAATCCCCAATTGGTCGCATTTTACGACAGTCAGCACGGCCATCTATAAAGTCGACTAACTTTAATTGTTTAGCTGCAGTTTCAAACTTGCTTTGAAGTTTATTTAATGGAATACAACTGGCGTCATAACACTGCACGCGTCGACCACTGCAGTATGGCCAAAAAAGAGTAACTGACAACATATCTGCAGCGATTTAGAATGAACTAAAAACTTGGACTAGCAAAGACAAATTCACTGTTTACACAGCTAATTTAATAGAGCTTTACCTTTTTATTTATCTCGTGCTACCTCAAAAACTGTACTGAAGAAACGCTGCCGCCATCACTCAAAGCTTAATGCTATTCCTCATCATTAACGACATAATTATTTTTCTATAAATATATTTCTGGCCACTCCAGTACTTACTAATTGTCTAAAATGCTATTGGTTGGTATCTCTTCTCTAATTATAATTGCAGTTTTTATTGCATTTAACCGCGAGCACTGAACAAATTCTTCCTTCGTTCTGAACTCAAAAGCTTAATTTCCCGCTGATTCTGGTTATTTCTTTCCTTGTAAAACTCATTAAATAGCAAGTCCAG